AAAACGGGCTTACCATACCGAAATATTTTTCAAGTTGGATGACCTACTTGAGAAAATCCAATCCCTTAACTACTTTACTTATCAAATGACAAAACAAACACGAACTTTTATTAGTCCAGTCATCATCAAGTAAACACAATTTTTTTTTAAATCCCTTCACTCAATCTCACTACGCTAATAATCTTTTCACTAACAATTTTCATACAACAATCCCACCCAATCTAACTCTAAAAACAAATAGACCCCTATAAGCTCCTATAGGTTGGTTATCCATAAAAAAAAAATAAAAAATAAAAAATGATCATTTAGATAATCATAGCCACATAATTTCATCAAATATATTGTCCAAAAAAATTAATGATATTTTTTCAAGATCATAATTACATATTTTTTGAAAATAAATATAATGAAATGATATGAGTACGATTAAATCATTGTTGCATAATTTTTTTTAAAAAAATATAAATGTAATAAAATCATGTAATTACGATTATCTAATTAATTCATTTTTTTTTATTTATGAAACACATCAAATTTTGGAGTAAGCCCACAAAATTATGTGATTACAATTATCTAATTAATTCAATTTTTTTTTTTATGAAACACATCGAATTTTTAGAGTAAGCCCATCCACTTGTCTAGTCAGCTCCGGTTCAGCTCATATATAGAGCGAAGACAAGCCTTGCCCAAATATTAGGGGTGTTCGCGGTTCGGATTTGGACGGTTTGCGGATCGGTTTGGACCCACTTGCATCTATGCGGTTTGAGAAAAAGACAACCCGCAACTGCCCGTAGTGCGGTTTACGATTTATGCAGATAGGGTTTATAGATGTGCGGGCGGTTTGCAGATTGGACTTTTTTTTTTCAAAAATTTATTTTTGAGCCTTATTTTTTTCCCCATTTTGTAAATATTTATTTTGGGCCATTTTCTCCCAATTTTCTAAGATGCTCCAACATTAATTAATGAATTAAAACTTATAAAATTAAAAACATAACAAAATCAATTTGTAACACAAACAAATCATTCAAAATCTTAAATCAAATCATAAACTAACACAAGCACATATTTCAAAATCCTAAACTAGAACTCCATATTCATTAAGGAATTTAAAATTCCAAATCACACTTGATCTGAGACAAGTTCAGTTATGTAACAATAATAATATGATCAGTATTTATTCAATTTCAATTGATATAATACTATTAGCAAATGTAATGCTAGAGTAAGTTTAAAAAATAAATGATGTTTTGTTTTGGGCAAAAATATCTAGGTGGGATATAGGAATGAAATCAACAGTTAAGATAAAAAAAAAAAATAAATAAATAAAGAAGTGCAGGCGGGTTCTTGAGGATGCGGGTTAAACCCGCAACCCGCAAACATGTCATATTTCAAACCGCATCCGCTCGCATTGTATTTGCGAAACTGTCCATTTGTATGCGGGTTGGGTGGATTGGGCAGTTTTTGCGGATCGGATAAACCGTTGCCCACCCCTACCAAATGTTTATCTTTGGGTCACTAATCTTTGTTCTTGTTTTAGTTCAAGTTCCACTATTTCCTTTGTACTCCATTTAGATTGAGTGGACGGAGGGAGAATAAAGGAAAAAGCTAGTTAAGAGAGTGAAAGGAAGGAAGGAGAAGGAAAGGGAGGAGAGGTGTCCTCCCACATGTTTGGTTAGTTAATATTTAGGGTTGGTTTGGGATGTATAAAAAAGTACACTTTTTATCTTTTTTAAGTCATATTACCTTTTTACTTTTCTGCACATTTTTTTGTAAAAAATCAAAATGTACACTTATTTAAATCATCGCAAACAATCTTTTATTGTGTTTTGTGATTATTAATTGACCGAAAATATCATGTATATAATGTCACACAATACTCTATGAGTATCCAATAATTTTCTCTAATTTTGTTTGATCTCATCCTCCATTTAAGAACCTCATTCCATTACAAAATATTATTAAGAAATATTTCACTTTCTTTTTTGTTTCATTAATTCCAATTTTGAAGGGGAGGAGAAGTGTTTAAAATATTTGTATTCTCTCTACCTCATAACTTTCTATATATTTCTGTTCAATCCCTTAAAAGTAAATTAAACATAATATTTTTTTTATCAGCAAAAATAAATTTATTGATGTAAATTAAAGTTCAAGAAGTACAAATAGATTACATTAAACAAGAAAGCAAAGCAAAGCAAAACTAGCATCATTCTTGAAGAACATAACCAACTAGGTTGACACATAATGTTAAGTAAATCTACTCTTCCAAATCCTTCATTTCCTCCTAAATTATCAATCCACAAACGTGCCCTTATGAGTATATTATATGTAGCCTCTTTGTTCAAAAGTCTTTAGATTTGGTAGAAAATGGTAGTTGTATGGATAAGAGCAGTCTAACTTGTAAATCATGTTTGTTAAAAAATTATTCAACACTTCTGGAGTAATACTTTATTCCATTTACAAGTTGATACCTAATCAATTATCTCCTAAAACACTAACATAAAAGTAGTAGATCCCATAGTTTAAACCAATAACTACTACTTTAGAGCACCACCTATATTTGCTCTAAGAATATTGAATAATTTCTCCATGTTTGTTTAGACCTATTGAAGTAGATGTTGTTTTGGAAACTAACTATTTTAGTTGACTTTTTACAAAAAAACGTGCAAAAAAATAAAAGTAAAATTAATTTTTTAGTAGTAACTTTTTGACTATTTTAGTATATTGCCAAACTTGCCCAACATTTTGAGGGCAGTTGATTTGAAGATTATCAATTCCTTTAGATTGTGTATTTTAGCTTATGTTTCGATTTACCCAAGATTACAAGGATTAACAAAATTCTACCAATTTTGTATTTTAGTAAATTAATCCAAACTTCCCCTCAATCTCCTGTCTCACCCTTCCTATATGGAAGATAACACATGTCCATGTGGATTAGAAGTCCAGACTCTAATTATGTTTGATTGAATTATGTAATTTATTAAATTAATATCCAATCTCAAAGTCATCCCCCAAACAAACAATGCCTAAATGGCAGGGTGCTTATGTAACCCTATAGCTAAAGTAGAGTATTCTTGTTGTCTTTTAACAAATATTTTTTAATTAGATTTCTTACAAATAAAAAATAAAAAATTTCCCTCCAGTGTTTAGGCATCTGACTTAAAAATCGGATGCCGTTTGGAAAAATGGAGCCACCTGATATATTGATATTTGCATTGTTTTGTTTACAGACTTCTCTCAAGAACACAAAACATGAATTAAAGAAGAGTTCTGAACTCAGAATTGGATCACATGAAATTCACAAACAGTGAATCTCAGATTCTAAGCAACCGATTTTAAAAGGGCATGGCTTCTGTCCAGTCCTTAATCGGACTGGACCGTGCTGTTAGGCCCGTGGGGACCCACCACGGGTCCCGTTTTGATAATCTGAACTGTTCACTGTGTAGAACTCATCGAGTACTTTATGTCTATTAAAAATCACGTTAATCGGATATCGATAGCTATGTGATCAAATCAGTTTTGTATAAAAAAAAATGGACGGTGAATAAATTAACGGTTGACAAAAATCTGTTTTCATCACATAGCTATCGATATCCGATTAACGTGATTTTTTACAGGCATATAGTACTCGATGAGTTCTACACATTGAACGGTTCAGATTATTAAAACGGGACCCGTGGTGGCCCTCCATGGGCCTAACAGCACGGTCCAATTCAATTAAGGACTGGACAGAAGCATTCCCATTTTAAAACTATGCACAGCCTGCACAGCCTTCTGGCAAATTTGTGACTTAATTGGCCACGCGCCTTGTCCTCACTAATATAATTTAATAAATGTGTCCTTATCACCAACAAACATACAAATTCTTAGACTTAATACTCTGCACCCCATCAATGAATTTATAAACAATTTTTCTTATATATATATTTTTAACTAGGTTGACTCTAAAAAATAGTTTGAAAAAAAAAAAAAAGACATTATCATAGATAGGAGTGGACATTGACCTATTAGCTGCCCAACCGGCCCGACCCAGAGTTAAGATCCTTACCTTTAACTTCTCTCCTTGACTCCCTACGTGTTAGGCTATTAGGCCCACTTTTGGGTCCAATTTCAATAATCCGAATCGTTCATATTTTAAGATTTGTTGAGTATATCATACCTATAAAAAATCAAGTTGATCAGATATTAGAAATTACGTGATCAGATCATCGAACTAAAAATCACTTTTTTAAAAAATTTAATAAACAATTTTCGGAACACATGCTTTCTGATATTCGACCAATTTGATTTTTTACAGGTACGATATACTCAACAAATCTTAAAATCAAAACGGTTCGGATCATTGAAATTGGGCCCAATGACCTAGTAAGTAGGGAGTCGAGGAGAGAAGTTAAGGAGAAGATCTGATTCCCCCGACCCAACTCCATATTTTTTAGGACTTGAAAAGACTAGTTTAGCCCGTAAGGCTAGGGTGAACCAATATTTTAGGCACATTTAATAAATGGGCCGAATGTATTCAAATGTGTAGCCTTGCTCAGCCCGAAAATAATATATTTAATATTTTATTATATTATTATATATTTATTTATTTATTTATATGATAAATATATTATTATATATTTATATAATATATTAAACAATATATAAGTCACTCTACTTCAACCTATATATCCAAAATAGCTTTACAAATCATTTATGAAATATTTTGTGTCAAGTGAGACCACTTTGTGATATGCCACTGCTTACTGAAGAAATGATACTACAAACTTCCAACACACCACAAAAAATCAACTTCCAAAATTTTGGTATTTGCATAACAACATAGAACAAGTAAAGCTTATTCATCACAAAATTATTAAGAATTTCAAGCTAGCTTTGGTTGACATACATTGAAACTGGCATGAGCAGTTCTGGAAATGCAAGGCAGTTGTACCAAATCTTGGTTGCGAGTTGCATCTCAAGCCCTCTTTTTCCTACCCAATGCAGGGACTCCGGCATTCATTTTAGTTTGGCGAGAGCATAGTAACAAGCCGCGCAGAATAGCTAAGATTGCAAAACCCAGGAAAGGTAAATACATCATCATCAACACATTTGTGATTCTTGAAGACAAGATCAGCTCTGCTAATACAGTAACCTGAAGCATGAATAAAATCAAGAAGAGATTCAAACACCAATTTCAAACTCTAATGTTTGCTAAATCTACTTTATTAATCATTATTACATTCATCCATGTCCTATAATTTGTAAAAAAAATTGAACCTTAAGCAAGATTTGATTGTAACCGAATACATCAGGAATCAGAAAAGGAGCATAATCAGTAATCCTTAATCACCAGAAA